TTTAACAGAGACCCTACCCCCACCTTCCGTACCTACGAATGAACAAGCTGGTAAGTAATCCATTCATCATTCTATACAATGGACTCCCTTTATTTCATTGCTCAGTGGAAAGTGCCTCTGGCTCACGGTCGTTGTTTTGATGACCACTTTATACTACTTTATACCACTTTTAATTGCACCTGAAGCACTCTGAACTCCTCCCTCTACAAATACTTAACATTTACTGATGACGGTAGCTTATCACTTATAACTGAGGATGTAAAACATCATATCCTACTTCGAAACCGCCAGTGCTTTTTTCAGCCTGGGGCGGTTTTTGTTGTGTAAAATGAAACTTCTTGTGAAGACACTCACCATGATTTCCTTTGGCTGCACAAATGATTGTTCTCCGTTACAGTCGGTCAAAAGCAAGCTCTCGATCCAAGTTGGACCAGGTGGCATGCCAGCTGGGTACACCGAAAAATACAGAGCCAGTGATGCGATCGAGGTCAACTTTGCTGCGCCCATTCATTTCATCAGCTGACCCTTTAGGTCCGGTCGCCAGCCAGGGCGGGGTTTGATCAAAATGACATCTCAGACTATTTCGCGTTCAGGTCGCCGCAGCATATAATCGAATACTCTCACTCAGTTTGTATAAAAGCGCAGTTGACCCAGCCTGTCCGTGATCTGCTGCCAAGTCGTCCGTCGAAGTGCATGTCCGATAGAATAATTCAGAGAACTGGGCCGAATCACCATCGATCTAGAAATTCCAGGTGGTGGTTACCCTCTAAGTGCATGGGCTCTGGTAGCTGGTAAAGCTGGTGTCTAGTTTTCAGGTATTTCTTTTCGTTCGACGAGACCAAATTTACTTAAAGTCTCGACAAAATTAGTTCCATGCAAGATGTTAATGATGAACTATCCTATTTCGACGTTCACCATTCAGTATCACTAAGAGACAGATTAATGATACTCGGCTCCTAACTATCAAAGAGGAGGGTGTTGCCTGGGAGCGTTTAGCAGTACTTTAGCCTTACTGATGTTTGTTTTCAAGCGAACGATGAATGAATGGCGAAGTAGTGCGGTACCGTCGGTGGAATCAAATTTCAAAACACTGTCTTACATAAACTAGACGCTTCGTTATTTACATCTGTAGTGGACAGAGCTAGGTCTGTTGCCTAACTATGGAGGACTGGCAAGGGGATAGAGTCTTGTCAGACGCTAACAAGTTATTCGGTTTCTTCAAAACAAGTCCTAATTTGCTTGCGGTTTGGTAAATGTCTGGGTTCCGAGGACACACTAACAGCTCCCATAATCTTCTAGGGGGCATTATGGCCCATCAATTTAAACACTGTAAGGAATTCCGAGAGACAGACTATTGCCTCCTGTCAAAAATAACGTTGCCGGCCTAGGATTTGTGTCAGGAAGGACGTTTGGTCAACACAGCCTTTGATAGACTGCCTTGTGGGGTTCGATGAGGAGAGGAGGATGCAGGAGGGAAAGATCTTTGTTGTAGCGCCGATAAGTTCAATTACTTATCATTAATTCTGTTCTGTCTCACTGCATTCAGTGCAATGCCAGCGTCGTCCCGGTCGGTATTAACGGTCTTTACGTCTAAATGTTTAGACAACAGATCATCAAGCCCCAACTGATACTCATGATCAACACTTGTAGACTTCCGCTGGAAGGTTGCCTACCGTGTGCTTCATTGTGCTTCAGATTCACGATCGCCTGAAAAATGTCTTCGCCCATTGTGACCTGTAGCCCGTTATAATCAGGCCTGGCAGCAGATACCCTCAAACTCGGCTTACTTAATCTGGTTGCACCCTGGTGATGGCGTCT